CATTATGTGTCAGGGGATACTCAGTAGCCATGTGGATATACAATATATTTTAAGAGAATAAATTATTCACTTTCATTTGATTTATCTCCAAATTCTATGCACTAGTATCCCTATCACAAAAAATTAAAACTAAGATGATGATTGACGTCTTAGACATTTCCAGAGATTAACTTTCTAAGCTAATGTTCAGAACTGAATACATCTACAACACAGGGTTTAAACATATCTTCTTCTTTTTTTTAAAAAACAGAAATGATATTTAAGGACTGCTTTCTCATTATATAAGTACTCCTTTGGCCTTTGTATAACTGACATTGAAGAGGTGAAAGCATGTTTTGTTCAATGATTATTGAGCATCTAATGATTTTGTTTAATCTTAATACTCCTTACTTTTTATCCTCTTTCTGAAATTCTTTTGGAAAACTTTCACCAAATCCTTGAATATTCCATTCTATTTTCATATACTCACTGAAACTAATTTTTGCCAATTAAGTGAATTACATTCCATTTTCAGACTTAGGAGAACTTCATATGCCTATAAGATAATTTTCTTGCCATTTTCTATTATTCATATCCAATGGAAGTTGAGTCAGGCCACGTGTCTCAACATGAAAGATAACAAATTATTAGGCAGTATGTTCCTAAGAATGTAATTCTAGATTTAATTGTTCAAATGTCAAAATCACTATATTGAATATTAACCCCACGTTAGTTTCTTGACTTATCAGAGGGTCTGTCAGAACTTTAGCGCCAAATCTTTCTCTCTTCCAGTTCCTCCCCATAATTCCAATCAAATCATTTTGCTAAATCATCATGCCTTACTTTGTCTATTTATAAATTGTGGATAATGACAACACCTGATCCTGCTTGCTGTATGTCATAGGTCTACTTGCACATTTTATAGTATATTCTGCTTGAAAATAAATAACTGCTCAATTTTTCCTTCTATTAAGTCAAAACTTAAAATAGCTTTTAAAAATCTGAATACACCTGCATTCTGAATTTCTTAGAGTAAATTAACACATATTATTGAAATTTCTGACAGGACTGTTAATTATTACATAATCATATGATGAGTTTTATGAATGATATTAAGGAAATATTCTTCCCTTTTGTTTAATCCCCTACCTTAAACTTTGTATGGTGATTAATATGATGTATATCTCAGGGTTTTTATTCCAATGGGATAAGTATAGGAAAAAGAGAGGGAGAGAAAAGAAAACTATGGAGCACAATAAGGCGAAGAATTCCCACTTTCCAAGGGAACATTCCCTTCAAGAGCCAAGATACTAACAAACATTAAATCCCCCCTGGAGAGGAGAAGAAAGAGTTTGCTGCAAAATTGATTTCAGTGTAGCCATGCCAAGGCAAATAAATCACTGCAAGTGAAATACTTTGAAAGGTAAATGGGTTTTAAAATATTTGTGTAGGTTAAATTTTCTAATGGGTGGTATTCATTACTGTCAGATATGATAAGGGCACATGTCCATCAGGATTGGGAGATTTCCTCCAGGTATATGACTCATTATTTTTAGACCAATGCTGAGTACAGTGGACACCCTTGACAAATGTTGCTGAATGAAGGAAAAGAAGCCAAGTTTAAATATGTAATGCTATACCTAAACCATAACTGTATTCATTTGAGTACAAAGCAAGTTGAATCCCCAAAGTTCTTAGATTCTTTTAATCTATACGTAGTTTGTATCAATAAAAATTCTAGAATGAGGAACAAAATTGAATGACTGTCTGACCCAGCTACTCAGGCCCCACAGGGAAAGAAATACAGATTGAGCTTCTACTTCCTGGCATCTCTTGTCCCTAGCCAAATTCATCCTCAGAGACGCTGTTTCATTTTATATTATCATCAGGGTGTGACTTAACTCTCAAACCATCTATAAAGAATTTTGAGAGAAGAACACAGTCTCCATAGTAGCTCCATTCTTTTTTCCCCCTTTCTTTAGAGCAATCTTTCCTAAGTGAAGTAAAAAGACTTCAGTTCTCTCTCGGACTGATGGTAAATGGACAAGTAAACATGGAGGACAGTTTAAAAAAATACTCTAGTCGTTTTCCTAAAATTTCACTGGACTGAAGTCTTTGATGATAAATCACCAAGGGCCTCTTTAGTTTATAAGCAGATGGTGACTGAACACTTAGCAAGTCACCCAAGCACTGGTCAACCAGAAAGAAATTTCTCACCTAAGGGATTTATTCAGATACCTAGGCTGTAGTATGGAAATGTAAACCCCAAATCCCAAATTAATGGGATTTGGAAAATTAAATTGATTGCCATATGGTAAGAGGCAACCAGAATAAAGACTCAGTAGAAGAGCAAAGCACATGAAGTTGCAGCTGGTGTGGGTTTATCAGTCAGCCCACATTCTGGAAGTGGGTGTAGCTCTGTCTCCGCTCCCCGCTGGAATGACCTGTACTGCTTTGGTGTAGCGGGTCTCCTGCACAGGGCAAACTTTTCAGGACTCCCTGCAGGATCCATGAAACCGCAATCACCTTGGACCCCCCAGGGAAAATGACGGTTCTCCAAGTTCATTTTTATAGACTCCAGAGAGATTCAGAAAGTACAGTACTGGACTAATCTAATACCCTTGAGATTGCTACACAGTAACTCGGCTGAGAACAGAGAAAGGTGAGATGGCCAAATTGATATCTTCTAGGTTCAAACTGGTCTTGGGAAATGCAGTGAATCCCAAACGACTGTTCTGCGAAACCACTGTTGAAATGGAACTATTTCTTCTAGCTTTGAAGAGTGTCATTACCCATGATTGCTTCACTCACTGTGAATAAAAACAGCTAACTCACTGCATCCTTCAGATCAGCTGGGCTGTCTATATATGTATTTACTTAATCCTCAGAACGAGCCCTATCATTCTGATCTCATTAAAAAGAAATGGAAACCTAGAGAAGTTAAGTAACCTGCCCGAAGTTATTCAGCAAATAATATCTGAGCTGGAGTCCAACACCGAGTGCAGCGATGACACATTTGCATTTTGTCATCTCCCTCTGTGTCTTTTCTCTTTCCTGAAAACTTGGAGGGGTGCCTGTGAGCAAACACGGACAGCATGGCAAGGGCCAGTACAATGTCTGTGTGAGGCAGTGACACGCTGGGAGGGTAATGCTCCTGGCCTAGCTTCCCAGAGACCTCTCCGCTAGTTCCAGGTCATCTCTGCTGGCTGCCCTGCTCTATATAGATTCTCTGTCAAAACACACTTCAAGATTATAGATATCACCAGGGCAACACACTGTGAGCAAACTTCAAAAGGAGTCTAGATTGTAAAAAGGAAAATCACAAAGAACAGAGACCTAGCTGTATGTAATGTTTCTTGTGCCACGCCCTGGACAATTAGGAACATCATATCCCAGGGGGGCTTTAGTTGACAAACCTGCAGAATTTGTATGTTAGGTCTTAAACATTAAAACAAGTTTTTCTCTCCCCCATCTAATTTGTTTCTTTAGTACTGGGCTCTTTGAAATTGAAATAAAAGCTAGGAGACACATTAAAAAATGATACTTGAAAACAGTGAGTCAAAGTTTCATACCTTATTTTCTTCTCATTTGCCTAGCTTTTAAGCAGAGATATTTTCCCCCTGAGTATGTCGACAGCCAGTGAGGTGACTAAAATACTCAGTATATCTTAGTGAAAAGCTATTTTTAAAATTACTTGATTTAGACAACTCCAATCATGATAATTTTCATGGGACTTCTTAGTACACAAATTAAAAGTTTTAAATTACTCCGCCAGCATTTGTGGATTGAGATAATCTTAATTAGAAAATACCTGCATTAATGCATATTTATCAGATGCCTTTAATGTTTGCCCTGATTCAAATTGCGAGGGTTGTTTTAGGGGTTGTAACTCCGGAGGTCAGCGAGAGTAGTCACGGTGTCCTATGAGGCCAGCAGTCAGAGGTGTCAATTCTAGTGTCTCCCCAACTCCGCCTGGGTTTGAGAATGTCATGTACCTTCTTTCAGCTTCTTCCCCTAGGCCCAGCGAGGAATAACCCTCCAAAAAAGCAGTTTCATGGATCGAATGAAACAATGCACCTGAAGGTTTAGTAAGCCAAAGGCACCGTAATACAACATGGCATTAAAATCGTAAGCCAAATGTAGGGGCTGGCAGTGTCTGCCAGTGAGGAAATTACAGATGGACCTGACTGAGCCCTTTGTCAGTCTCACCAACCTGGATGAGTCCTGCTGGAGTTCTCACGTTTGAGAAACGAGAATACCCCACAGGATGATGTAGGGATTACAAATAATATCTGGTCGGCTCCTAGCAAGGCAGGCACACAGTAGGTACTCAGTAAATGGCACCCCTTCGACATGAAAGAATTCATCGAATGAAGCCAAGTATTCTAGTGTTTCAACGCTCATCCTCCTGACAGCTGAGCGCTCCTCGGCCAGGAACAGTACATCCATTAGCAGAGTCCCAAATAGACTTCTGCTGTGGCCAGCGCCCTGGCTTTCTCCCATTTTAGACCCCAGTGGAGTAAAGCTGTCTTGCTGTATTCGCATTTCTGGCCTTAGAATATTATTTGATAGACCCTCAATTTCCCAAAACTAATAGTACCCGATGCGTCGCCTCCAAGTACAGGCTTTTTTCTACCCTGCCTTGAGTCTATGAATTTACTTCGGGTTTTGCTCATTAGGGGCAAGGGTGGGGTGGCATCGGGAAGGAGCCCGAGCGAATCTGCTGTCGTTACTGAGGACAGCAGCAAGCAGCCTTGGAGAGTGAGGTCCCTCCCCAGCTCCAGCGCATTCGAGGCAGGCCCCCTGCAGGCCCCGGCGCAGCAAGCGGAAGGCACGGTCCTCCCGCGCGCAGCCTCGGCCGCGGGAGCCCCACTGCGCCCAGGCGGTCACCCACAGAGCGCGCGTTAGAGGCGTGGAGCCGGGAAGGGCGCATGCAGCTGGGTTAGTCTTAACTCGGCCATGCGGCGGCTTTGCATTCCTGTTCGGCAAACGCGTTTAGGCAAAATGGACTTGATGCTTACAATGATCCCAGCCCAAAATGGAGTGTCTCTGACTAGCAGGGAGGGGCTGATGCTGGCCATGAGGAAGCCCACCACGGTCACGGCGATGCCCAGGGCCAGCTGCAGCAGGGCGAGCAGCAGCGGGAACCGGCAGCCGCAGCACGTCCGGGCCTCCTCCTCCCCGCACTCCTTGGGGGCCCCCTTGCCCTTCTTCGGCCCCGTGTCCTCGGGCTCGGCGGCGTCCGCGGCCGGGGGGCCCCCCTGCCTCCTCTGC